ACCCCACCGGCTGCACCGTGGCCAGCGGCTTTTCCCAGCTGTGGCCTCTCCCCGCACAGCCCCGACCCCCATGGGGCACCTCGAGAGCTCACCGACACCAGCCCCCGGATGGTGAAGTGCAGGTTCTTCAGCTTGTCGATCACGGCCTCCCCCAGCGGCGGCGAGAAGGTGGGGGAGCAGCTCCACTCCACTGAAAGGAGAAAGACCCCAAGGTGCCGCATGGCCCCGGAGCAGGGACGGGCTCCCAGGGCTGTCTGCAGCGTGTCGGGGCAAGCAGCTGCAGAGGGACCGTGGGCAGCACGGGAGCTGGAGGCAGCTGAGCGAAGACAGGGTAGAGGGGGAGCCACAGCGGGGGGGCCGGCACAGGGAGCTGCAGTCCTCCTCACCAAGCCACATCAGACAGGGTCAGCACCCTCAAGCGATGGGTCAGGAGTTGGGGATGAGGGAAATTCTCCCAGAAGCCAAAAATATCTGGTTTAAGGGGGTGAGGGGCGCTGAAGCGGCAGGACAGCAAAGCCGCCCCGGGGGGTGCAGGATGAGGGGGCAGTAAACAAGTGGCACCCCAAGTTTTGCCTTGGTGCAGGACGGTGGTTTGGTCCAGCTCACACTGTTTGGGTGGTGGCCAGGCTGTCCAGCAGTGTGCAGCCCTGGCTCCTCCTGCGCTCGAGCGCAAAGGTGGCTTGACAGGGGCTTGGCAGCACTGCCCACACCCCTGGCACGCTGGCGTGGTGTGCAGAGGGGGAGCCCCTCAGCATGCCCCGCTGGCACACTCAAGGCACCTGCCATGGCCGCATGTTCCCTCCACTGCTGTGGGGACCCCGGTCGTTACCTTTATACTTGGTGACAACAGCCGAATTAACGCTCAGGGGCTCCCAGAAGGTCACCTGCACCGAGGAGCTGCTGGCCACGGAGAGGTGGACGTTGGTGGGAGCGTCCGGCACTCCTGGGGACAGAGAGCGCAGGGACCACTACAGCCAGGACAGTCACTCTGAACCCCTCAGTGTCCCTCCTGAGCCTCCCCCTCATGGACACCCAGGGCCATGTTCCCGACACGCTCACCCGCCGCGCACCCATACAGCGAGCCCTAGCTATAGGATGCGGGGATCCTCTGACAGGTGCTGATGCAGCCCTGTGCCCGGACCACGCACAGCCCTGCTCCTCCCGCCAGCGCAGGGGCTGCCCCCCAGACCCCCAAGCCCTCCTGCGGGCACTCACGAGCATGCTCGAACCCCGCCTTCATGCGCTTGTAAAGCCGGTATCGCCACTCCCAGGCCTTGAGCTGCTTCTCCTTCTCAGAGCAGTCGGCGTTGGGTGCCTCATTCACCACCTGCGCCGTCAGCTCGTTGACGCGCTGCTCCGCTTCCCGCACCAGTGTGGAGAGGTGCAGCGAGCGGCTCTCCAGGCTCACGACTGTGGGGTGGATGGGCATGGCCATGGGTCCCGGGAGGGGAGCCAGGAGGAGGGAAGAGAAGGTGGTTAGGGCAAGCCCAGGCTCTGCTGGCACCAAGTCCCCACCCCGAGACCCCATCCTCCCCTCCGTGTCCTGCTCCTGGGCTCCACTTGAGTGCATGGCTCCACCCGAGCCTCTGCTACAGCCTGCACCAGTTTCCCAAAGCCCAGTGACTGCCTCCCCACTTGGACCCCGCTGCCTGGGGTGCCCTGCCCCACCAGATCGGAGACCCAGGTGATGGGCACGGCATGGCTCCCCCACACCAACTCACAGTGTGGGCTCTCCTTTGCTCCCGCCTGCAGCAGGACCCTGGCGATGGGAGCATTGTTGGTCATGATGGCGATGTCCAGGGGCAGTAGCCCCTCGCTGTTGGGAGTGTTGAGGTCCAGCTCCTCGGGGCTGTACTGCTTCAGCAGCTCCTGGACCCTGTCTAGGTCCTGCAGCTCCACGGCCTCGAAGAGGGCAGCATTGCTCTGGAACTGGGTAGAAGGAGAAATGCAGGTCGGCTTAGCATGGGGCACCTTCCTCCACCCCACCAAACACCCTAGCCCCTCACCAGCACCCAAACAGGCTGGGCTGCCCTGGTCCCAGGGGCTTGGGAGCATCAGCTCTTTGCAGACACAACCAGATGATGCTGAGCAAACACCCGGACTTAGCTCCAGCTGAACTTGCTCCAGGGCAGCTTCAATTAACACACTCTTGAGCTTCCACCCAGGTGACAGCATCGCCCATACACGGACCCTCCATCCCCGTCTTCCCGGCCACAGCAGTGCTGGATGGAGCCAGCGGGCACTGACCAGGTAGGACTTGCGGAGCTTCTCCTTCTCGCCCCGTCCCGCCCGGCTGCCCTCGTCGAAAGCCGTGTAGTTGCAGCG